TTTCTTTCTTTCTTTCTTTCTTTCTTTCTTTCTCTCTCTCTCTTTTAATTAACATAAATCAACAATTTTAATTGCTTTTATATTCACCTGCTTATAAGCTGTCCAGAGTTGCCTTATTGGCCAGATGTGTGGCATATAAAAATCTAATAAATAAATAAATAAGTACACATCTCTATTTTAGGTTTATGTTTCGGGGCAAGATATTCCAAGAATTATGGTCACGGGAGCGGTGGATTCTTGTTCATTTTAAATTAGTTAACCTTGGGCATGCACGTGTAGAAAAATAGTTACACAAGCATGCAAATAATAAAATAATAAATAAAATAAAAAAGTGTGCGTCCAATCACACTTGGCTAATAAAGTATTCTGTTCTGTCCTGTTCTATTTTCTATTCTGCATTTATTTATATAGCTTCCTAGCCAAGTGACTCTAATATGAATGCATGGGGGAAAATGGTCACTATTCCTGATCTCCTGATAGTTTATTTCCCTCAAGCTTCTTCCTGCAAGTCATTTTGTTCCAGCGTTGCACAGGAAAAAGAGAGAGAGAGATAGAGAGAATGTAAATTGTTATGCAGGGGCCATCAGCTGAAACGAAGACAGGCTAAAATACTATTTGTGCAGTTTGGCTGCAACCGAACCAACTCCCACGAGACTGAGCCTCCACGCAGGGGGGGATATATTTGAAGATATGGATGGGTTTTATTTTAACAAGGTTTTTGAGCAAGGAAAACAAAACAAAACTAAACTAAAAAAAACCTCTGCTTCCTCTCATCTAGAGAACTGAGAAAAAATAATTTTCCCCAGAGCCATGGGCAGCGTATGAATCAAATGTTCAGGTAATTCCTTGGTTACTTTAGCTCAGATAACAGATAATCAGAGTCGGAAGGGACCTTGTAGGTCATCTAGTCCAATCCCCCACCCAAACAGGAGACCCTACACCATTTCTGACAGATGGGAGTCCAGTCTCTTCTTGAAAGCCTCCAGGGATGAAGGTCCCACAACTTCTGAAGGCAACTTCTGTTCCATGGGTTGATTGTTCTCCCTGTCAGAAAGTTTCTCCTTATTTCCAGGCTGAATCTCTGCTTGTTCAATTCCCATCCATTATTCCTTGTCTGGCTTTCAGGTGCTTTGGAGAATAGCTTGACCCCCTCCTCCTCCTCCTCCTCTCTGGGGCAGCCCCTCCCTCAAATATTGGAAGGCTGCTCTCCTGTCTCCCCTGGTCCTTCTCTTCACCGGATTAGCCAGGCCCAGTTCCTGTAACAATGGCATGCGGTTGCAAATCGTTTTCCCCTGTACATGTTCTCCATATCAAATTAACCTTGGGGCAGGGGGAACATACTGCCAAGGCTATATTAGATCCCTCCTTTCCTTTCCTCCAACTTTGCCCCCAATGCCCCGTTACCTTCGGCTGGAGAAAAAAAAAACTCTCCCAAGAACAGTCTTTAAGTGGAGGAAATTCAGTCCGAAAACAAGGTACATACTAACTGTAAATAAAAATCCACACAAACCACGCTGCAGCAATTAACTGGACAGGGCAGGAGAAGGAATTGCAGGCTTCAAAGGCCAACAAAACACACGCTGTTGGAAAGACGCCAGGAACCCAGATAAGCCTCGACAATAAAAGATAATTCACGATTTGCTCCCAGCAAGCTGCTGTGTGCAAACTCCATTTTTCAACACTGTGTTCCCAGCTGCAGCCAAAGAAGGGAATCAAGGCCCTTTCCTCCCCCGTAAGCCATGCAACCCACATTTCTCCCTTCTCCAGCCCATCCCAGCTTGGATCTTCCTCTGAACTCACCCTCCCTTGCTCTGCCTCTCCCCTGCTTTGCCCAGCCCTTCCCCAGTCTCTTCCACAGCCAACAGAGCCACACTCCCACTCCCTGTCAGCTGTTTGGCTTCCTACCCCGAATCAGATTCCGACGGAGGCATGACACTAGGTAACATCATCAGTGGTGGATGGGAGTGGGGTTTGTGTGGAGGGGGAGGATGGGGAGGGGGAGGAGGAGGAGGAGGAGGAGGAGGAGGAGGAGGAGGAGGAAGACATGACAATCTGAACTTGATTGTTTTCTTGCAGAATTATATATTACCTAACCAAGTAATATGATCAGGAGTAGGGTTTGCTGAGATGAGGAGGAGGAGGAGGAGGAGGAAGAAGAGGAGGAGGAAGACTGTGGTACTGTGGTCTCTGGTACTGTCTGAGCTTGGTGGTTTTCTTGCAGATGTTTCATGATCCAACTAGGTAACATTATCAGCACTAGAAGGGAGTGGGGTTTGCTCTGATATGATATGATATACTAGTGGCTTGCCCTGTCATTGTTGTGGTTTTCTCCTTGGTAATTGTTAGGAATATGAGTCACCTAACAGCTATTTGGGTGAGAAATATGTAAACCAGGATAAACATTTTAAAACTGGAACTTTAAGAAAATGCAAAACTGTAATTAGGTGTGGTTTCTCAAACGGCCATAAGATGGAGCCAGAAACCTGGAT